TGGACCTTTGGGGTTCAATTGTGGTCATAAATTGAGGATTGCTTGTGTATTATTATTTAATATTATTTAATATAATTGTTTTTAAAATCATCTCCTGATATTTAGATTAACATATTGGGAGGGAGGGAGGGAGGGAGGGAGGGAGGGAGAAGGGGGCATCAACTGCCCTGTTGTAATTCAGATGCCACCTGCTCTTCACTTCTTCAGCTTTTCTTAATAATCAAAAGATGATTTCTCCCATCATCTTGACTTATGACTGGTTACTTATTGACTGTTCAAAGTTACGACAGACCTCCCCAGGGCTACTTATGACCTGGATTTGAAATTCTTATGGCAGCACCTCCCCCATCACATGAGCACTAGTTTGGGTGCAGGGCAACCAGCCTGCATTATCGCTTTTTGCAGTGTCCCACGGTGACATCTCTGTGATTTATCACTTTTTTGTGTTTAGCAATAGCAATAGCATGTAGATTTATATACCGCCCCATAGTGCTGTACAGCACTTTCTGGATGGTTTACGTTAGTGTATTGCCCCCCCCCAACAATCTGGGTCCTCATTTTACCGACCTCGGAAGGATGGAAGGCTGAGTCAACCTTGAGGTTCATCAAGATCGAACTCGTAGCAGTGGGAAGAATTAGCCTGCAATATTGGATTCTAACCAGGGCTCTTGGTTTACCTATGGTTTCCAGCAAAAGACACACAGCAGACAATAGATTCCTTTAACCACCATGGTGTTTGCTTAACAACCCCTGCAAAGATTGTAAAATTGAGGGCAGTTATGTGGTGACCTGCTTAACGACTGTCATGACTTACAAATGTAATTCTGGCCTCATTTGTGGTGGTAAGTCAAGGACGACATGTACTTTCTCCTTTTTTATATGCAGCTGTCAGAAATACATATAAGCTGAATGTGCCATGTGAGACTTGTCAGTTCTGTTTCTGGACAAGATAGTCTTATAAGTTTAAGCATCAACTTGCTAACCAGGGTTAAGTTAGCCGTGGATAAGTAGGTAGATGATGCGAACACTGCCATTATCTCTGAATCTCTTCTTAGTCATTTACTTTTTAAAACAACTTCGAAAAAAATTAAACAACTCATGACCCATTTCAAAGATATTCCCTTACCAAAACAGACAAACTGAATCATCACCAGCGGGCAAAAGGACAATGGAAATGGGAGCAATATCCAACTTCCTGACAGTTTCCCCACTGGTTTAGCTTCACAAAAGAAGTTGGGGTTGTAACTTAATTACTTGAGAAATGGATCCATTTCAAATATCACTAAACCAGTTTAGTCAGCTGGTGTCCAAAGTTTTATTTACTGTTGCAAAGTAGAGATTTTACGCACATCTATTTCTGCATAGGATAGTTGCCAAGAATCAATTTCTACCGTCTAATTCAGGGCTTTTCAACCAGTGGTACGGGTACCACGTGTGGTACATTGGCACCTGGCAGGTGGTACGCGACCATCCTAGAAAAGTGATAGTGGGGGAGGGGAATGAGCTGAACCAGTGGCAGCACCGCACAAGCCTGAGCGAGAGATGGCTGGAGCTGCAGGGCTGTCAGGGCTCAGCGGAAGAGCCAGGATCAGTGCCAGGCTTCAGCTGGAGCTCGGCGCTGATCCTGGTGCTTCTGCTGAGCCCAGAAGAAGTGCCGATCAGCTGGAATGTTGCAGCATCTCCAGGGTCTTGTGATTTACATTCAGATGCTTGGCAAGTGATTTATATTTATGACGGTCACAGTGTCCCAGGGTCATGTGAAGTGACCAAAACCTGCTGCAACCACCCAGCAGAAGGGGTGGGATAAAAACCAAACACCCCCCACCCCATCCCCGCTGCCAATCCTCAACAGAAATGCTCACAACAATGAAAACCTTGGACAGGAGGAAGAGCGCTGCTGGGTGGGCAGGCAGGTGTCTTGCTTGGCTGTGGCTTGGGGGGCACTTTTTTCAGTGTCATTGTGACTTCGAACAGTCACTAAGCGAACTGTTGTAAGTTGAGGACTACCTATACTTCATCACTTTTTTCCTTTCTTTTTTGGGTCATCAAGTTTTTGACACCTTGCTAGGCGACGGGTGGTACTCGGATGTTGCCATATCCTAAAAGTGGTACAATGGGTGAAAAGGTTGAAAAGCCCTGGTCTAATTTGCAAAAATCAAATTGTATGCATGTTCACATGAGAATAATGTTTACATTTAGTGGACACCTGAGTAATAATGCAACCTTTTTGTCTACAATGTTAATATTTCTGTATTTTTTAATCTATTTAAAACACCTCTGTATTTCTTTCCATTGAAAAAGATCACGAAGATGAATGCAATTGAAACAATAATTTAAAACAGTATAAAATATACATTGAAACACAGATAGGATAGGCAAAATTGGTATTGGGGTTTGTGGCACCTCTGAGGCAATGGAGTCCTAGTAGATGATTACTTAAACATGAGCCAGCAGTGTGCAGCAGCAGCCAAAAAAAGCCAATACAATCCTTGGTTATGTAAGGTCCCTAGCCCTTACTTAAATTTGAGATACTATTAAATGTCTAATCAGGCAACTCAAACAGAGGCTTCTTGAAACAGTGCTTTAATTGATAAAACAAAACAGCTGGGTGGCAAACTATCTGGAACGCTGGCAGAGTTACGTCCAGAAGTGCCACACCTTAGAAAGTTGGTAGCATTGCTTTATAAACTTTGTTAGCCAATTAAAATCAGACATTACATCATAAGGAATACATCAATCGTTCGTGTACACTCCCTTATTCCCTTCTTCAGTACATCCCATCCATGTACATGATTCCCATGCTTGCATGAAATTTGTCCCTGACACAAACACTGATTACAAAAGTGAGATAGCAATAGTTAGGCTAAACAAATTTTTTTAATCCAGTTACAGAATATAACCAGAGGCATAGAATCAAAATCACGTTTAGTATTAGTACTAGGTAATAAATCCTTAGTAAGACCTGGAATACCGGATCCAGTTTTGGATACCACATTACAAAAAAGAGGTTGAGACTTTGGAAAAAGTGCACAGAAGAGCAACTAAGACGATTTAAAGGCCTGGAGAGTAAAACATATGAAAAACGGTTGCAGGAATTGGATATGGCTAGTCTAGAGAAAAGAAGGACTAGGGGTCTTATGATAGTGGTATTCCAATATTTGAGGGGCTGCCACAAAGAAGAGAGGGGTCAACTTATTTTCCAAAGCACCAGAAGGCAAGACAAGAAACAATGGATGGAAACTACTCAAGAGAAGCAACCTGGAATTAAAGAAAAACTGCCTAACAATGAGGACAATTAACTAGTGGAACGGCTTGCCTTCATAAGTTGTGGGTGCTTCATCACTGGAGGTTTTTAAGAAGACTGGACAGTCACTTGTCTGAAATGGTATAGGGTCTCCTGCCTGAGTAGGGGGGTTGGACTAGAACAGGGCTTTTCAACCAGTGGTACGGGTACCACCTGTGGTACATTGGCACCTGGCAGGTGGTACGCGACCATCCTAGAAAAGTGGTAGCGGGGGAGGGGAATGAACTGAACCGATGGCAGCACCGCACAAGCCTGAGTGAGAGATGGCTGGAGTTGCAGGGCTCTCAGGGCTCAGCGGAAGCGCCAGGATCAGCACCAGGCTCCAGCTGGAGCTCGGCACTGATCCTGGCCCTTCTGCTGAGCCCAGAAGAAGTGCCGATCAGCTGGAATGTTGCAGCATCTCCAGGGTCTTGTGATTTACATTCAGATGCTTGGCAACTGATTCATATTTATGACGGTCACAGTGTCCCAGGGTCATGTNCACAACAATGAAAACCTTGGACAGGAGGAAGAGCGCTGCTGGGTGGGCAGGCAGGCGTCTTGCTCTGCTGTGGCTTGGGGGGCACTTTTTTCAGTGCCATTGTAACTTTGAACAGTCACTAAGCGAACTGTTGTAAGTCGAGGACTACCTGTACTTTATTACTTTTTTCCTTTTTTTTTTTGGTCATCAAGTTTTTGACACCTTGGTGGTGGTACTCAGATGTTGCCATATCCTAAAAGTGGTCTAATGGGTGAAAAGGTTGAAAAGCCCTGGACTAGAAGACCTCCAAGGTCCCTTCCAGCTCTATTCTGATTAACTGAAAGTTGGGATAACTGGACAGAAATGGAGAGGTTATCTGAAAGAGTGATGTCTTCTCCAGGATGATTTTTTTTGCAAAAACAACAAAAAAAATTGCAAAAACAACAACAAAAAAAGGCGATGGCTGCCGTCCTCGATCTGGTTGGTGGAGATTAAAGGATGCTAATGCCAAACAGCCTGAGAGGGCCAAAGCAAGGGATGTTTCACAGCTGCTTGGCCACTGTGGTAGCCACTTGCTTTGTGATTGAAACCTGGATGAAGAGGAACTGAACCCAGAGGCCTATGGCGAGAAATCTAGATTGACCGCCAGAGGACAGTTGCCATAGTAACAGAATAGTTGCATTATTAGATCTTGTTGCACATTCCGCTTTCCGTCCCGCGCTTACAAAGAGCAAGCCTGGTACAGCTCAGCACTTCATCAGGCTCCACCCATTTGTTTCTCTTTTAAATTAAAGGTTTCTTGAATTGTTATTGGCTGATTTATGCGTCAATCAGGACTGGTCCGGCCTTAAGTCCAAGGCTAGGTCCCATCGCCGCGCGAAGCCTTTTTTCTCCCGTTCCGCACAACCTTTCGGTCATTTTGTTCTTTGAGAGGCTGGCGTATCTGTCAATCACGGTACGCCTCTTGATTTCCCCCCTCCCCAGTCATATGACGTGTTATTTTGCTCAGGGAACGAAGCGTATTCGACGCCCAAATAACACAGCCAATCAAAAAAGTTTTGAGAGCCTGCACAGAATCGAAGGCGGGACTAAGTGGAACGTACATAATCAGCTTTGCCAGGTGCCACAAATTGATTATCTTTCCCACCAATGAAATGTCTACAAAGCGTGAAAGACGGCGAGAAAGACCAATGATTAAACAGCGGGCGTTTACATTTCCCCCACCAGTTAGTTTAAGTCAGGACGGAAGATGGCGGCGGCGGCGGCGGCTGGGACAGGTCCAGGGGTCCCAGATGGGGAACCGGAGGAGTCAAACCGCGACCATAGTACTTTTGAATGCAACATCTGCCTGGAGCCTGCCAGAGAAGCTGTCATCGGCCTGTGCGGCCACCTGTACTGGTGAGCGAGGGAAAAGGTACAGAGAGGTGTGGCATAAGGAAGGGGAGAACCAAGAAGGTGGTTAAGAAAAGAAAAACCTGCAATAAAAAGTAGAAAGTTGGACAGGCCGAAATCCAACAGATGAACCTGCGCTTCTTTTTTTGCTTTATTTCCATACTTGTGGAAGAACAGGGGTCTTCAAACTTGGCCCTTTTATGACTTGTGGACTTCAACTCCCAGAATTCCTCAGCCAGGCACGCTGGTTGAGGAATTCTGGGAGTTGAAGTCCACAAGTCATAAAAGGGCCAAGTTTGAAGACCCCTGGGAAAGAAGCTCCACCAGCTGCCTTTGGTTGCTTGGTTGGTTAGGTTTGTGGGGTAGCAGAACTCTAAGGGGCAGATATAGTAGAAGACAGGCAGTGTGGCTTAGTGGTTAGAGAGCAGTTTGGTGGGGGGGGGCTGCTTAACTGCATCATCTCCGGCCACTGGAGCTCTTTGGTTTTTCCATCAGTTTAGAAGGAGGCTCTGGAGGACCCAAAAGCCACCGCTAACTCAGTATTGTCAAGTTGGCTTCACACAAGATAATTTGTGTAGCTTGTGGCCTTACAAGTGGGATAAACCTCCCACCCCTGTCACCCCAAGGCAATATTTTGATTTATATGTTGGGGTAATTATTGCAGAAACCCAGCAATTATGTTTTGTTCACTTAGATTTGTTATTGACTTTACAGGTAGTTATCAACTTACAATCATTTGTTTAGTGACTGTTTGACTTTACAATGGCACTAAAAAAAGTGACTTCTGACTGTTTTTTCACACTTATGACCATTGCAGCATCCCCATGTCAGGTGCTCAAAATTTGGACGCTTGGCAACTGGCTTATATTTATGATGGTTGTAGTGTTCCAAGGTCATATAAGCAAAGTCAATGGGGAAGTCAGATTCACCAAACAACAGTGTTGCAAACTTAACAAACTTAATTGTGACAAGAAAAGTCTTAAAATGGGGCAAAACTCACTTAACTGTCTCATTCAGCGACAAAAAGTTTGCGCCCAGCTGTGGTTGTAAGTTAGGACTACCTGTATTTACCTCATTTATTATTAAATTTGTATAGCCGCTCATCTCGCAAGTGTCACTTGTTGATTTCTGTGCGCCCATCAAAATTCTGATTCATTATGTAATTTCTCTTCATGTTAGTTTGATCCAGATTTCTTTTAAAAGGACTTATGCTTTTTTTTTTTGTCTTTTTCCAGCTGGCCTTGTCTTCACCAGGTGAGTTGCTCTGTTTATTTAGACACTGACTGTAAAGTTGCCTAGAGTTGAAATGCTTAATTAACTTTCCCTGTTATGTCTCTTCCAGATATACTAACATCTACAGCTTTCCAGAATCCTTAGGCAGCATAGCTGCTGGTTGGGTTTAGCATAGTTACTAGCTGGAGATTATGGGTGATAATGTCTGAAGTTATTTTGATAACAGCACGTCAGCCAAGGCTGGCTTAATGTAGGACAAATCTTGACAAAATTAATCTGTGGAGGGCATACAGATAGTCTTCAATTTACAACCAGTCACTTACTGAACATTAAAAGTTACAATGGATCTGAAAAAGGTACTTATGACTCAGATTTGAAGTACCTACACCTGGACCCCCTTCGGTGCCACAGTTGCATTTTGGGTGCTAGGCAACCAGCCCACATTTATGGTTGTTTGCCATGTCCCACAATTGTATGACTTCAGTTTACCACTTTTTTTTTGCTGGAAACTGGCATTTGCTTCCAGTTTCTGGCAAAAAAACCGCCCACTGCAGCCAATGGCTTTGTGTCCAGTGCATTTGCTGAATGATTGTTGTAAAAAAGGTTGCAAAATTTATCTGTGACCCACTTAACAACCAGCACAACTTGCAACTGTATATTCTGGGTTCCATTATGGTCATCAGTCCAGGAAAACTGCAGATAGCCCTCGCCCAAAATTTCTTTTGCTCAGCAAGACAGTTGAGTTGTGCCCCATTTTATGACCTTTTGTGCCACAGTTGTTAAGTGAATCATCGCAGTTAAGTAACATGGTTAAGTGAATCTGGCTTCCCCATTGATCTTGTTGCTCAGAAGGTCACAGAAGGTGATCCCATGACTCTGGGACACCGCAACCATCATAAATACAAGTCGATTGCCAAGCCTCTGAATTTTGATGATGTGGCCAAGGAGATGCTGCAGCGGTCGTGTGAAAAACGGTCATAAGTCCCTTTTTTCACTGCCACTGTAACTTTGAATTGTCACAAAATGAACTGTTGTAAGTAGAGGACTTACCTATATTAACCGATGGAAAGGCTAATCGGGAGCACTTACAGATGAATAGAGATCATGTTTCTTGTAAGAATCTGGAGGACTTTTTCTGTAATTGGTCAGCACGATGGTTTCTTGGGTGGTGAACAGAACCTATATAACCAGCACTGAAGGAGATGACTATAGCAGTTGAGGAAGATTATCTCTGCTTGCTTTTAATCCTTGCATAGGCGTTTGACTGACCGCTGTGGACCTTTGGACTCTCTTAGTAAAGCATTTTTAATCAGAGCAATTGCCCTTGAAATGAATCTCTCCTCAGCTTAAGTAGGGATTGGCTGAATTTCTTAAATAACTTCAGAAATTACATTAACTTGAGGATAACGACAAGCAATTAAAATAGAGCCCTGGTGGTGCAGTGGTTAGTATTGCAGGCTAACTCTGCAGACTAACTCTCACCTGCTCAAGGTTGACTCAGCCTCCTTCCAAGATCGGTAAAATGAGGACCCAGATTGTTGGGGGCACTGTGAAGCGGTGTATAAGTCTTAAGTGCTATTGCAATTAAATTAGGCAATTAAAATTCCCCCTTGAAATAAATGTTTAGTTGAAATAAGTAGGGGGTAGGCCACCTTGGCTCTTTTATGACTCGTGGACTTCAACTCCCAGAATTCCTGAGCCAGCCATCCTGAGGGGAAAGGGAGAGGTTACCAAGCTGAGCCATACTGGCTCCGGAATTCTGGGAGTTGAAGTCCACGAGTCATAAAAGAGCCAAGGTGGCCTTACCCCTGAAATAAATAAACCAAAAAAATTACACTAAAATCTCACTATTCCAACCTGGCAAACTTTCAAAGCCAACTTTTTTCCTGAATTGTCCTAGAGGTGCTTTGTATCTTCTGCAGCCTAACAGTAGTTGATACGTTAACCTAAACTTTCATTGCACTCCTCAGAATTGGTTT